TGTGCGGAGCCACTAGAGCAGTGTTGTCCAAACTTGGCCACTTTAAGATGAGTGGACTTCAACTCCCAGAATTCCCCAGCCAGCCATGTTTGGACAACACTGCTCTAGTGGCTCCGCACAATAATAATGATCAAGAATAATAATATTTCAGGAAAAGTATTTGTGGTTCTTAACCACAGAAGAAGTAAACTAAGTCTTCAATACATTTAACAAGTTCTCATAGTCTGTAACAAAGTTGAATGCATGTTTCTTCTTACCATAAGAAATATTTTACATATAGAAAATGACCCCAAATAATGGAGAGTATAGACTAAATTATGATTATAAATAAAAACAAAGTGCAGCTCTTCCATTTATTTCCCATCTCCTCGGATATGTCTTCCTTTAGATAATTAGAAATAATCAATATTTTTTCTATTTCTAGAGATGTTTATAATTTTAGCATTATTATATTAATAAGAAATATTAAACATATCAAAAATACAGAAGAACAGGCACTGTTGTAGAATAATAACCATATCATGTCTTGCCCCAGTCTGCCTTAAAAAATTCAGTAAGTATGCATATAGGCTTTATCCAACAGATGTTTAGGTACATGGAATTCAAAATTTATTTCAGCAGGAACCAAGTTAATTTCTTTACAGAGAACTACTTCAAATGTACATTATTTAAGTGTAGATAAAGAAACAAACACCAAAAATGAAAACTACCTGTGAATACAAAAAAAATTTGCAGATACTGTGTCAGCTCACTTGAAATTTTACCCAAACCACATTTCTCTCAGGTTAAGTTTCCATCCTGTATTTGAGATTATGGTGATTTTATAGCTGTAAGGTTTACTGAGAAAAATTAATTCAATATACCTATTTAATAAATACAGTACCTTTGCAAAGTAACGGGGGAGGGGAGACAAAATAGAATAAAAACAATTATACAACCATTGCCAAAATAACTGAAACATAATGCAGGATCTTTCGTGAACTGGGGATAACATTTTTAAGCCTTGCTATCATGAGTATTTGTGGAAGGGAGGCAACATGTTATGTCATGCAAATACCATGACTTACTTGCTTCAGACAGAAGGTAAGCATTTAAGAATGGGTCTTGCATAATGTCACTGTGTGTTGTTAGTTCGCTGTGGACGCTGCTACTTGCTATGTCTTTAGTTGCTAGAGATAATTACTATTAATGTTACAGACTAAATTTTAGTTCTGCTATAATCTCTTGATGGTGCTACGTTTAACAATATATATAAATAAGTGCTATTTTAAAAGACAAAGTGTCCCCGCGGCTGGGCTGTTCCTGCTGGCTTTTTTCCCGCACTCCCGGGGTTTCAGAAGCAAACTTCACCGGGGTCCCGTTCTGGTCCCAATCCCCAGGGAACTTACCAACTGATGCTCAGGATAAATTTCAGAGTTCGATTAACATTACTGTCTCCGAAGTATGTTTGCGACTCCGAACTGCAGTCTGAGTGTTAGGGCGTCGGATCTTGTCCAATGTTTTTCTCTCAGCGCTGCCTTTAATGTGGAAGCAGTGAAGCCAGCCGGGTGGAAGACAGCAGCGCCCCCTCCAGCTCCCCTCGGGTCAATCAGGGAGGACGATGACACGGCAGCAGGTACCACCCGACGAGGCTATACGGTTGCGCGCGCAAGCGCTCTGCCTGCTCCCATTCACTCCCCTCTCCCCGATAATCGCCGGCGTTTCCTCTTTCAGCCATTTTTTCCAGCGCTGTGAAGGAGGAAGCGGCAAGAAGGTTCCGGACCCGCGCTGCAGCATTTTGGTCCCTTTGCCGTTCCCTATTGGCCGAGCGGAGACTTCTGTTTAAGCGGAGTCAAGTCCGGATGCTCTGAGTTATGTTTTAGCATTCCTCTAATCTGACCTCCTTCGGTCTATCGCAGTATCTTCCTAGTTGGGACGTTCTTCCTTTCCTCTAATCTTTTGCTTCGTCCTGGTTTCTTCCAACTCCGCTCCTTCTTAAGACTGCATGCTGATTACCCGTTAGTGAGCTTTTCGTCGTCCACCATCCCTTTCCTCAGCAAAACCATTCTCTCTAGTTTTGGCGCGCGAGACGGGTGAGCCTGGAGGAGGAGCCGCTGTTGCTGCCGCCGTCGCTTGTGGTTTCAGGACCTTGGAGAGCTGCTGGACGAATCGGTCGGGGAACTGCGGCACCGCTAACGGCTACGCGACCGGAGGATTGCGCAATCCTCCCTCAGTTTGCGGGAGATCTAGACGCTTGCCCGCAATTCGTGAAGCTGTGATCGGACACCCTCTTTCGTGTCTGCCAGTTGGGACCAGCTTGTTGGGACGCAATTTATTTCCAGGCGCAATTCGTGTTCCTGCACTTTTCATTGGTTTGGATGTTGTGGGTCAGCCCCATAGCTGATTTCATCAAGGTCTAGTAGGGAACCCTACTTTTTTCGTGCCCCTTTGCAGTGAAGGCAATCAGCCTTGTATCCACAAATTACTTGGTAACAAAAGGATCCTTTAGTCTCTTGCTCAGAGACCTACAGAGATCTTTCCAAAAGACACTGATTTGATATTTATTTAATTAGAATATGAGTGGATACATCACAATTAATAAACTGTGGTTTTCTTCTGGAGCTGGATAATATAGCGACATTGCAATCAGAGTGGGAGGCTAGCACTGGGAGGGAACAGTGTAGTTGTGAAGCAGAGGAAAATACTTCAGATTGCAAAATAATGTCATTTATTCACAAAGGTGGAGGTTAGTTGGATACTGAAGAATTGATTACTCACTCTAAAGACTAAATATAAAAGTTGTCAAGAAAGATCAAAGGGAATCTACAAATGTTGCAAAACATGGACAATCTAGTGTAGAAGTGGAGATTTTGAAAAGCAAGCAGACAGTAGGAAACAATTCTTCCTCAAAAGAATCATATCTAAGATTGTAATAAAATTATTATAGAAGGTGGCTTGCAGGACTACAATTTCAATTACTTAAATATAAAAATATTTTTCCAACAGGAAGGCATGATCTGGCTTAAATTTGGATTACTAATTTTATAAATATTAATTCTTTAAGAAGGAGCCATAATTATCACTTTTGAATTCCTAGCCTTCAGATTGTTCTTCCCTAATGTCATTTTACAGTATCCCTTGCCCTCTTTTTTTAAAAAAAAATTAAAATGGAGTCTTTATATATTTCATTCATGTTAATAGAAAATACCATACTGCTGTATTGCTGGAAAAATTGAGAGATTCTTTGTGGGAGGTAGCGTTCTTTGCTAAATGTGAAACTATCAAACCCAAGGAGTTCTCCTAAGTGAAATTAATCTTGAGACTTTTTCTTCAAAATGAAGAAATTTAGTTTTCACAAAGTTTTGGATGGTTTAACTTCATCCCCTAGTGGAAACTGCAGTAGTAGTAGCGGTGGCAGTGGGCCTGGAAAGAACTCTGGGAACTCCGGAGAGGCTGCAGGGACACCCAGGGATGAAATTCAGGAGACGCTGACTGCAGACCACTTTCAGATATGCAAGGTAAGAGCTGAATGCTTTCTGTAAACATCAACCCTCAAAAAGCTAGCGGTCAGTTTTAACAGGCCAATTTTAATTCTCTTAAATATTGGCTGCATTTTATTTTTCCCACTCCCCCCCCCCCCCCCCCTCCTCTCTCTTTCTTTTTTATTAAAAAACAAAAAAAAAAACACACACCCCCCACCAGCAAAAAGAAAAACAAAAAAAAAAAC